GGGTGGAGAAGAGAACAAAGTTTTCATGAGATGACAGAACTTTCCCTCTAGATTTGCCTTCCATGGGTAGTGGGTGATTCAGTCATTAGGAATATAAACCGCATGGTGACTTGCCTGCCCTCTGCAAAGGTTGTTGACATCATGCATGGTCTAGATAGATTGATAAATAGTGCTGGGGAGGAGTCATGATGCACATAGTCAGAAACATGGTGGAATGGGGAAAATCTATAGGATACAGTCATTCCCGTATATAAGCTCTACAGTTAGGACAGGGAGGGATGGGTTGTTGTTGCTGCGTTGTATATTAAAGAGGGCATAGAATCTAATAAGTTAGAAAACATCAGGGGAATTAACTCCCTGACAGAAGTGATATGGTTGGAAATACTGGGCCCTTGGGGTTATTTAAAAGTGAGGATGTATTATCTCCCACCTGATCAAACCTTTGAGGCTGATCTTGAGATGCAGAAGGAAATAAGGGAGGTGACCAAAGCAGATAATGTTATTCTACTGGGAGATTTCAGCTACCTCCACATTGACTGGGTAAACATATGCTTAAGTCATGCCGTAGAAATGAGATTCCTAGACATCATAAATGACTCTGCACTGGAACAGTTAGTCACAGAACCAGCCATGGGGATAGTGATCTTGGACCTGGTTCTGAGCAGGTCTCAAGACCTGGTGAGAGATGTAGAGGTTTTTACACCAATTCAGAACAGTGACTACAATGCTATTAAGCTCAGCATTCAGGTCAATGGAATGTTACCAATGGAACGTTACCCCTAAAGTCCAAAACTTTCATATTTGATTTCAAAAGAGGGAATTGTACAAAAATGCGGGGAACAGTAAAAGGGAAGATGAAGGGGAAACATAAGAAAGTCAGATCACTAGAGGATGCTTGGAAGCTATTTAAAACCAAACTAATTGAAGCCCAGATAGAACGCATTCCACATGTTAGGAAACCAGCCGTAGAAGCAGTGGGGCCTTTGGATGACAAAGAAATAAAGGGGTTGCTAAAGGAAGATGGGGAGATAGCAGGGAAGCTCAATGACTTTTTTGCTTCTGTGTTCACTGTGGAAAGTGTGGGGCATGTACCCATGCCACAACCCCTATTTTCAGGAAGGAGTCTGAAGAACTGAGCTATATTGAGGTGACAAGCAATGAAGCCCTAGACCCACTGGGGAAATTAAAAACTAGTAAGTCTCCAGGTCCTGATGACATACACTCAAGAGTTCTTAAGGAACACAGATACGAGATAGTTGCTCTACTAACCCAGGGGTGTCAAACATGTGGCCCGGGGGCCAGATCAGGCCCCTGGAGTGCTTCTATCAGGCCCACAGTGGAACTGGCTGTCTTCTGCTGCTGCTTCCAGTTCTGCAGCAGCTGCTTCCAGTTTGCAGCTTACAGATACACACCTGAACAGCATACTCAAGATTGCAGTGGCACAGACATTTTGATGCAATAATTCAGAGCAAGAGGTGTCAGTTATCAGACACTGGTAAATAAACAAAATATTGCAAGAGTGCTAATGTTTTAAGAATGTTTTTATTTTAAGTTAAAAAAACACCTTTGTGTTTGCGACCTTTATAAAGTTTATATCTCTGCTAACTGGCACTACATTTTATGACACACATGGCCCAGCCCAACAAGGTCTCATTAATGTCAGACCTAGCCCTCATAACAAATGAGTTCGACACCCCTATACTAACCTTTATATGTAACCTATCGCTAAATTCAGCAGCTGTACCAAAAGCCTGGAGAATAGCAAATATGATTCCAATTTTTTAAAAGATATCCAGAGGGGAACCAGGAAATTACAGGTCAGTCAGCCTAATGTCTGTCCCAAGCAAAATAGTAGAAGCTGTAATCATAGATAGAATTATTGATTGATTGTTTGATTGATTAGAATTTAAGCCTGCCCTCCCTTGCACAGCAGGCTCAGGGTGGGTAAACAGTGTTAAAAACAATACCATAAGTTAATTATTAAAACCAGTTATCAATACAACATGTTAAACTAAAAAATTCAGATGGCGATATAGGCACAGTTATCCGAGATGAGGTAGTACAGCCAGCGTGCTGCCAAAAACTGCACAATGACAAAGTTGCGGAACTGCATCAGGTCCCGCAGGGCCCGGATCTCCTCTGGGAGCTCATTCCACCAGGCAGGGGCCGCCACCGAGAAGGCCCTAGTCCTTGTGGCGACCAACTTTGCATCTCTGGGGCCCGGTATAGATAGTGCTGCCGAAAACTGCACAATGACAACCTGAGTGGCAGAGAGAGGGCTGAGCTGAGCTACGCTGGGCTGGGGGAGGCCAGTTTGATGGAAACTTTACTGCCTCAACCGTATACCTGGCTAAACATTTCTGTCTTGCAGGCCCTGTGGAACTGTGTTAGGCGCATAGATGGACAGAGCCTGATGAAGGAAAATCAGCATGTTTTCTGCAAAGGGAATTTCTGCCTCACCAACCTTTTGGAGTTCTTTGAGAAAGTGAACAAGCATATAGACAATGGTGACCCGGTAGACATTATATACTTGGACTTTCAAAAGGCTTTTGACAAGGTAACTCACCAAATTTTCCTGAGTAAATTTAGCAGTCTTGGGATAAGAGGACGTGTTCTCTTATAGATTAAAAACTGGTTAAAAGACAGGAAGCAAAGAGTAGGAATTAGGGATGGGCATGAACTGGGAAAATGGAGGTTCATCCTAGTTTGTGGTACGTGAGGAACCTGATAGGCTGAAATAGATGCAAACCATTTCAGCGATCCGTTTCGCGCCCGCCCCCTCGGAAGCAACAACAAGCCAAGGTTCTTATCAATGGAGATTTATCACGAAATATTGAGATACATAAAGGAACTAGACGTTGCCTTTCACCTCTATTGTTTATTTTTGTTCTTGAAATTTTAAATGATGCGATTAGAGCGGACGTACAACTCTGTGTTAGGGATTATTCTCAAAGGGATTGAGAATAAAAGGACTGATATTGTAATGCCCCTGCATAGATCTATGATGCAGCTTCATTTGAAATACTGTGTACAGTTCTGGTCATGATATCTTAAAAAGGGCATTACAGAACTGGGAAAAGTACAGAGAAGGGCAATGAAGATGATTAGGGGGTTGGAGCGCCTTCCCTATGATGAAAGGCTGAAGAGCCTGGGACTTTTCAGTTTAGAAAAGAGACGACTAAGGAGGGACATGATAGAGGCCTACAGAATTATGCATGGAGTGGAGAGAGTTGACAAAGAGAAAATTTTCTCCCTCTCCCAAAATACTAGAATTTGAGGGCATCCAATGAAGCTGATGGGCAGTAGATTCAGAGCGAACAAAAGGAAATACTACTTTACACAGAGTGGTTAAAATATTGAATTCACTGCCAGAGGATGGCTGCAGGAATGAACAGCTTTAAAAGGGAATTAGATTCATGGAGGACAACGGGCCTCTGGGGCGGGGGTTTCCCCGCCCCCCGGGGAGACTTGGCAAGCCTAATTTAGAGGCACTAAACCTCTGAATCCCAGAGCCAGGAGGAAGGTCTCAGCCTCCCTGTTATTGACTCTCCAGAGAAACTCATTGGCCACTGTGTGAGACAAGATGCTGGGCCATTGGTCTGATCCACCAGGGCTCTTATGTTCTTAGAGAAGAGGGGAAAACCATAGCCAGAGCCCAAAATACAGTCCATCAAACTTACTTTGCAAAAACGTAGATGATTGTATTATCAGCCTTCATGCAAGAAGCATAACAGAATGTTGATATAAGAAAAAAAGAGATCCTAAAAGTTAGGCCTTTGAGGTAGTTTTAGAGGATTTTAGGGGATTGAAATAAAGACCCATCTAAGGTAGCCAGCTTCCAGAGGAGGTCTGGTGATCTTCCAGAATTCCAAGAGACCTCCAGAGAACAGAGATCAATTACCCCAGAGAAAATGGCTACTTCAGAGGGTAGATTCTTATGGTGGGGTCCCCAACCTTTCAGAGCCTGTGGGCACCTTTGGAATTCTGGCACAGGGTGGTGAGTGCAACCATAAAATTGCTGCTGCAGGAGATGGAACCAGCCACAAAATGTCAGGACATGAAGTTATGCATAACTCAAATAGTAACACTTCAACAGTTCAGGCAGGATGCTTAATAGGATGCTTTTTAAAACAAACATATTGTTTAAAAATATTTTCTTACATACAAACAATTTACCTTCAATCATGTAATGAAGCTCCTTGTGCTGTGCGGTGGAAGCTACTACCAAATCCAACTTTTTTAATCCACTCAGCCAATCAGACCTCCAGTGGCCAATAAGAAGCCCTGCTGAGCAAAAGCCTGACCTGGCCTCACCCACTTTCTTAAAACACTTCACGGGAGCCAAGAAAGTGTTGGCAGGCACCATGGCCAGATTTGGGACCCCTGATCATTATACCCCACTGTTCCTCTGTGGCAAATTGCCTTTGATGCAGGTTTTGAAATGTGCGTTTTCCCTTGCAGTAGGGATGCCAGCCCCCAGAATTGCAGCCCAAAACGGATGCTTTGGAGGGTGGACTCTCTGGCAATGTCCCTGTCCTCCCCAGGCTGCACCTCAAATATCCAGGAGTTTTCCAACATGGAGCTGGCAACTCTATGCCCCCCACACACACACCAGTGGCCAGAGAGGACTTAGCAACCTTAGCCCAACCCAGAGTCAGCTACCTTAACACCCCCCAAAAATTTTTTTCATAAGTTTCTGCCAACTATTAGCCCCTCAGAATGTCATTCTAATGCATTATCAATAGCAATAAGGAATGTACTTTGATTCCCTATTCCAAAGGAGTGCACAGCTCTTTCTGTTTGCTGGTGAAAAACACAAACTGCTGTCTAGCAGTACTGCAATGCTATCTCTCTGGAGGGAGACAAGAGGAAATGAGGGAGGGGAGAGACCATCATGCTGAGGCGGCTGCCCAAGGTTGACGGATTAGTCATATGCAGGCCTCCTGATGCTGCTGACACAGTGCCAAGGACAAAATTCTCTTCCCTGAGGAAATGTTGAGGGAAACTGGATTGATCAGCTATGTGAATAAACATAGCTCTCCATTTTATGCAGGCAAGACAGACAGGAAATGTGTGGAGAAGCAAGCTAAGCCTAATTAAGACTGAAGCAAAGGTAAAGGGCAGCTGAGTTAATCACACACAGCCACATCAGACGCCTCTCAGTGGGAAGGCTGCACACTCCTCCAGCTCTGCCCCTTTCCCTCCTCCTCCTCCAGCAGAGCTCCTGAAGCTGCTTCTCATGTACACAGAGATCCTTTTCAGCAACAGAACTGGGAGCCAGTTGCATCCACATCAGTAGAAGAAAGAGCCTGCTGAAGAGGCATGCCTGGGGGAGGCAGAAGTCGCATGGCTGCAATATCCTTATGCCTGGCCTGGGCACTGTCAGTGACTCTAGCCTCTGGCCCTCAGATAGTAGAAAGTAGCAGAGGAAACAGAGCAGACTGGACTCAGGAAAAGGTGGGTCAGCTGTGTTTTTCTGAATGCTTTGGGTGTTTTTTCTCATTTGGGGGGGGTAACATGAGACGGGAATGATAGGGAGGAAGGAAGTTGGTGTGGGAAGAAGTTGTGGGCCTAGCAGTCATGCGTTTGGGGGATGAAGGTTTTAAAATAGCCTTCCATGGTCACTGCTGTTTCTGTATTACCAAGGCATTGATATGAATGTGCATCAAGCAATGTGTGGGAGGTCTATGAACTGTTCTATTATTACATGTTTTATTATCTCTATTGCTATGCTTTTATCATTCGTTTTTCTATATGTGGGTTGCCTAGAGCTGAACTCTTCTGTGCTGTACCTCTATTACATGCTATATATCTCTATTTGCTATGCTGTTATGCCTTTATTATATGTTTTCCAGATGTGGGTTGCAAACCTTAAAGGTACAGGATACAGTAAGGGTGATGTACAAATAAATGCTACCCACTCAGCCTGGTTATTTGTCCACCCACCAGAGCACTCAGGCACTATAAAAAGAAAATGCTCTTTAGATACAGGCTGATGATGCACACAAAATAGAGCTACAAATGCAGATGTAATAGCCCAATCTCAGCATGTGTACTCAGTAGCCCCACTGAGTTCAGTAGGGTTAACTCCCAGGTAATATGTACATAGGTTGCATGGTTAGTTTGTAATTTATGATCCATGATAAAACGACTACGTGGCAACACAAAGAGCCTACAGATGGGTCACACGTATCAGCGACATAAATGTAGACCACAGAGCACCTTGGATGCACACAAGTATTTAGTCCATTATACATCCATGAACAAGAAGCTTTTGATCTAGTTGTTTGCAGAGGCTACAGTATTTTCATTTAGCAAGATACCCAACATTACAACAGACAGGATGTATGTGGGAAAGAGGAGCTGTATGTTGCAAGACCTCCAATGCAAGGTAATGTAACTGTACAGAGATTAGTGGATTGGAACATCTACATAGATATTCTATGCTATTCTGCGTCTATCCTGCTTTGTTTGGATGGTTCTATGAATCTTCATGGCTGTAAGGCATTTTGGACCATGAATTATTTATACTGATATTTTCAAATGTATATTCTTCCATTCTGGCCCAGATATATTCTCAGTGTAGCTTTATGACATCATATCTCATGATCTCCTTGAGGATAAGCTGGTTAAGTGTGGGCTGGATGGTGCAACCGTTGGATGGATTCATGGTTGGTTGAAAAATCGTACCCAACGAGTGCTCGTAAATGGCTCTGCATCTCCGTGGAGGGAAATCTCGAGTGGAGTGCCACAGGGCTCGGTCCTAGGCCCAGTGTTGTTCAATATTTTTATAAATGACCTGGAGGAAGACATAGAGGGGATGCTTATCAGATTTGCAGATGCCACAAAGCTAGGTGGGATTGCTAATTCTGAAGAAGACAGAGTCAGGATTCAAAATGATCTAGATAGGCTGGAACAGTGGGCTGAGACAAATAAAATGAATTTCAATAGAGATAAATGCAAAGTTGAAAAGTATGCATTCAGAAAACCCGCCACCAAGCACACCTAAACACACCCCCTACTCCCGATAGGCTATTTACAGTAACCGGGCGACCATTGGTCTCCCGGCTGGGAAGCTAGCCCTTTGATTGGGCCGGCTAGGATCCTATGGATCCTTTGTCTTTCGACTGAAGCTACTGAGGAGTATTGCCTGGTCAGCCCGGGCAAGTCCGGGCATGTCAGGCTGAATGCACTACACGTGGTAATGGCGACAGTACATTACACAGGGCATCCTGCTTTCCCTTATCATAACAAAGGCAGGCACCTTTAAGCCATGAGGGCTCCTGTCAGCACCACATAAGACCCCTTCTCCCCTCTTCCTAATTGTGGGATTTCTAGTGCTGCACCGCTGAGCTCCGCAGAAAGCCAAAGTACTTCTGCCACCTCTGAAGTCCAGTGAAAAACACTTCTCCTAGGTGTGGTTTCTCATCTCATGCTACTGAGTTCCCAGCCTCAAAGCAAACATTCATTATTTCTGCCTGCTTCAAAGCTCAGCATAGTACCAGAGACACCCTATGTGGTGGATCTGGGATGGGGAGTGGAGTCAGTAGTGACCACAAATACTAGAAAGCCAAGTCAAAATAGTGTCAACAGTGAAGAATGAAGCAACAACGATGGGCTGCATTTCCATAAAGACAGGATCACTATGAGGTAAAAAAAAAAAAATGCCTCAGAGCCAATGGCCAATCAGGATTCCACTAAATTTTTTATTTAGCATAGCAGTGACCTATTTACATGCACAGCACTGTCCTGATATTGAAAGAGCTTTTCATAAAGGCAGACAGGTAAGAAAACTGCACCTGAAGAACAACCCAACTCAGAGGCAAACTAGATGTTACAAATGCCCA